TTTCAACAAATGATATTGGAGCAATTGTATATCTGGAGGCAAAAAAAAGAATCTCAACCTAAGTCTCAAACTTTATATAAAAATTAATTCAACATTGGGGCTGGCCCAATGGCACAGCGGTTAAGTTCATGTGCTCCACTTCGGTGGCCCGGGGTTTGCCGGTGCAGGTCCCAGGCATGGACATACACACCACTTATCAAGCCATGCTGTGGCAGGCGTCCCACATATAAAGTAGAGGAAGATGGGCATGGATGTTAGCTCAGGGCCAGTCTTCCTCAGCAAAAAGAGGAGGATTGGTGGCAGATGTTAGCTCAGGGCTAATCTTCCTCAAAAAAATTTAACTCAACATGGATCAGACTTAGATGTGAAATATAAAACTACAAAACTTTTAGTAAAAGCATAGGAGAAAATCTTTAGGATATAGGCAAAGCATTCTTAGATCTAATACCAAAAGCAGGATCCATAAAAGGAAATATTGATAAATTGGACTTCATCAAAATTAAAAACATTTTCTCTGTGCAAGACTCCATTAAGAGGATGAAAAACAAACTATAGACTGGGAGAAAATATTTGCCAACTAGATATCCAACAAAAGACTAGTAGGTAGAATATATATATAAAGAACTCTCAAAACTCAGCAGTAAAATAACAGTCCAATTAAAAAACGGGCAAAAGACACGAAGAGATAGACAGATGGCAAATAAGCACATGAAAAGATTTTCCACATCATCCCCTGTCAGGTAACTGCGAATTAAAACCACAGTGATGTATCACTTTTCCCATGAGAATGGCTAAAATAAAAAATAGTGACAACACCAAATGCTGATGAAGGTGCAAAGAAACTGGATCACTCCTAGACTGCCGGTGGGTGGGGGTGTGAAATGATACAGTCACTCTGGAGAAGAGTTTGGCAGTTTCTTAAAATACTAAACATACAAGTATCTACCATATGACCCAACAAGTGTATTCCTGGACATTTTCCCCAGAGAAATGGAGATTTATGTTCACACAAAAACCTGTACATGAATAGTTTTCATGTTTATATTATCTTTATTCATAATAAACTGCCCCAAACTGGAAACAATCCAGGTGTCCTTTAATGGGTGAATAGTTAAACAAACTGTGGTATATCCATTTTATGGAATATTACTCAGCAATAATAAGGAGAAAACTATTCATGCATGCAACAACCTGGATTCATCAACAGAGATTTATACTGAGTGGAAAGCCAGTCCCAAAAGGTTGCATGCTATGTGTATTTCATTTGTTATTCTTTTTTTTTTTTCTTTTTTGAGGAAGATTAGCCCTGAGCTAACTGCTGCCAGTCCTCCTCTTTTTGCTGAGAAAGACTGGCCCTGAGCTAACATCCATGCCCATCTTCCTCTACTTTCTATGTGGGATGCCTACCACAGCATGGCTTGCCAAGTGGTGCCATGTCCGCATCCACACTCTGAACTGGTGAACCCCGGGCCACTGAAGTGGAACGTGCGCACCCAACCGCTGTGCCACCGGGCCAGCCCCTCATTTGTTATTCTTGAAATGACAAAATTATAGAAATTGAGAACAGGTGAGTGGTTGCCAGCGGGTAAGGAAGGGTGAGGTTAGGAGGGAAGTGATTGTGGCTATAAAGGGAAGTGGGGGGGGGGGTCCTTGTGGGGAGGGAAATGTTCTGAATCTTGCTTGACTGTATCAATGTCAATGTCTAGATTGTTATATTGTACTATAGTTTGCAAGATGTTACCATCAGGGGAAACTGAGTAGAGGGTACATGGGATCTTTTGTATAAGTTTTTACAACTGCATGTGAATCTACAATTATCTCAAAGTAAAAAATTTAATTGAAAAAAAGGCCATCTATCTGTAGCCCGTCAATCATTTCCAGCTCCTATTTTGCAGAAAGAAGCACTCAGAGCAGCGAGAATCGAGATTTATCAATGTAGCGTGAATTTTAATGTTCTCTGAGCTTTATCCTCTTCCGTCACTCAATTAGGGGTCTTGCCTACTGCAATTATTCTGGGAGCTTCCGGTCTCTCATTTATTTAATATTATTAATATTTGTTAATGCTTCCACAGGGCTAATTCACTCAGCTTCCTGGTTGCCTTGGCAACCTAAGACTAATGTCCCCATTTGGTACCAAGAGAAAATAGAAAAATGATTTGCTGAGGAGCCTCTGAATGCAGGTCCCACAATTCTTTCTTCTTCATACCTGAGCTGGCACATGTATTATGTGGGATTTGCAATCACTCTTATTTTTCCTGGTCATTAAATTCCTCTTCATCTAGCATCTATCTTAGACCACTTCAGCAATTACCAGCTTTTGGGATCAGGAAAAGATTCTCAAATCCAGCATCTTACCTGGACCGAATCCTTCCACTTAGGGCCAGTTTTGGACAGAGCCAAGGTTTCCTTCAGGCCCACAAAAGGGCTGCTATAGATTCAAGAACAGCAAGATGATGGCGATTTTCTCCCAGCAGAGGGTTAGGCAACTTTCCTGCTGCTTCTCAGCTGGCCACATTTGGGGCAGGTGTGGGGTCGGATGGTGACGTGGCACTGCTTCTGGCCTTGGATGCTTTCTGTGCAAGAATCACCTCCCCCAACCCAGGGATAAAGCTGGGCACTGAAACAGGCAGCGGGTTGGGAGGCAGAGGTCTTGGGATCTTTTTCTCTCAGTGGACTTCATGATCCACTTTATGGTTATGTCATCTGGGAGGAGTTGGTGTGTTGGGAAATCTTACTTCTAATCTCATCATTTAACGAACAAGGTGAAAGGAATCAATGTATTTTAAACACCTACTGTGTGCCGGGCACTGTCCTCGATGCTATGCCATGCCTTAATTCATTGAATCTAAACTCCTCAATCTCCAAAACTACCCCACGAAGTAAGCATTTGAATGAACCCCACTCTATAGAGGGGGAGAGTAGGGCACAGAGAGGGGAAGTGACTTGTCTGAGGTCACACAACTGGTAACTAGTGGAGCCCGAATTTAAAGCCAAAGTCCACGTTTTTTCTATTCTGTAATGCTGCCAAAGAGGCAGCTTAATGTAATGACTAACTGGCTAAGAGTGCAGACTGTGGAATTAGAAGGATGTTGGTTCCATCGTTAGCTCTACCCGGTTCAGGCTGTGTGACCTTGGGCAAGTAATTTACCTTCTCATATTCTTCACCTGTATAATGAGGGTTAAGAATTGTTTTTGTGGCCACAGGATTGTTGAGGGGATTTCAGGAGATTTTACACTTAAAGGGCTCAGGTAGCGCCTGGTATGTATAAGCAAAGGAAAAGGTTAGCAATAATCTGTTTGCAAAGAGTAAGCCAGCTTGGTTCCTGGCTCCATCTCAAAGCACTTTATCAACCTTCGTTTTCCCAAAAGCACTCAGAACTCACTGCTGTCAATGCTCTGGTTTAAGGAAAGCCAGGAACCATAAACATCACAATAATAGCCAATCGTGTTTTGTGCATTGCCAAATGCCTGGCACTGCAGTACGTGCTTTACCACCGTCATCTCATTTAAATGAAACGAGTGGCTAAGTCTGGCTGCGGAAAGGGTCTCAGTCCCTCTTGATGGCAGTGGATGCTTGAAGGCAAATGAAACCCATCCCTTTATATTGTTGAAGCACCGCAGGAACAGCCACGGGTACCATTTGTTGCGGGCGGATCACTAGGCAGGCGCCCTGCTGGGTTCACTATTGAAGGTGAGCTCCTGGAATCCTTCCAGAGAGGGGCTGCTACTCTCCCTGTTGGACTGGTAAAGAAACTGAGGCTTAGAGAGGATAAATAATTTGCGCTGAGAGCTGTTTTGGTTCGGGTGGACCTTGATTTACATAACACACATTTCTGAGGCTGATGCTTAAAATGAAAATCGCCCCCCTGTGAATTGCAAAGATGCCTTGCTTTGGGAAGTAAATGGCCCTTCGCCTCAGCAGGTCTGCTTTGTGAATTCAGTTCCTCATGACCAGTTTCCCCAAATCTTGGCATTTCAGAGCTTGGTATTTGAGAAAGGGACTCTGGCTTTTAGGAGGACAACTTCACGCCAAAGATCAGGAAATTCAGGCCTAGAGAGGTGAAGGGAGCTGCCCCAGGACACAGTGTGACAGCAGCACAGCTGGGACTCCAATCCCGGTGCTTTGACTTTCCAAAGGCCAGGGCCGCCCAGTTAGTAAGCAAACGGGTGAGGGACTTTGGCCAGGAAAAGGAAGGGAGGGACCCTGTATCCTTCATTTCCTCACCTGCGAAACGGGGTCACGACCGGTCCTCCCATGTACTGCTGGGGGATACATGGGTGTGGCCCAACCCAGGGGCAGCCACCCTGTGACAAATGCAAAGTGGAAAGTGGAGGCCAGGGGGTCGGGAGTCCGCAGAGCAGGGGGGCGGGGAGAGGGTGGTGGGAGCAGAGGCGGAGCTTCGGGAGCCAGAGGCGGGGATTCGAGATTCGGGGCGGGGCTTGGAGTATCACGTATTCAGACAACAGTAGGCGGGACTTCTAGAAGTTGGGGCGGGGCTTTGTGGCTCCGAGGGGCCAGTTCTGAAGTAATGGGATGGGAGCCGGGCTTAGGGAGTCAGGAGGCTGGTTGGGGGTTTTGATGGGGCGGTGGGCGGGGCTCAGAGGAGCTCATAGGGTTTTAAGGGCTCTGGGGGAATCTTTGAGGAGCCGGGGACTGTGGCCCTGCAGAGCCCAGCGGGCCAGTGGGCGGAGCTCTAAGAAGGCCCCTCCCGGTAATAAGGAGCAGTGGGCGTGGCCCTCGGATGCTGCCATGACTCAGTGGGCGGTGCGTGCACTTGGGCACCGCCTTCCTCCGCGGCCCACCTGCATTCCTCGGCGCGACCAGAGGGGGCGCACGCTAGAGGGCGGCAGGGGACGTAGCTGGGAAGCGGGCTTCCCCTCCCGGAAGTGGGCGTGGCGCGGCGCGGCCCGGCGGCCCTGATTGGGCGCGGCGCTGCGCGGGGGCGGGGCCTGCGTGCGGCGGCGGGGGCGGGGGCGGCGGCCCGCCCCTCCCCCGTGCGGCGCTCAGTGCCAGGCGGGAGGCGGCAGCGGTTGGAGGCTTCGCTGGGCTCTGCAGCGGGGACTTCGGTGGCGGCTCCCCAGGCACCTCGGCCCTGGTGAGCAGCGCGCGCTGGCGGGGCCGCTCGGAGCGAGCCGGGCGGGCGGACCCGTCCCCTCGGCATGTGCCGGCGCCGGCTGACAGGAGCCGGCGGCGTGGGGCAGGGACCCCAGGCCGGGGTGCAGGAGGTGGGGGCCGGGGGGAGGGGATTGGGGACAGAACCGCCAGGCCTGGCGAGAGCGACCCGGGCTCCCTGTGCGGAGGAGGCTGCCCAGGGGAGGCTTTTGGGGGTGCGGCGCCGCCTCCGCCGGGTGAGGAGCCGCGGGGCACGGGGCTGTCCGAGGATGGTTTCCAGGGGTCGGGACCCCGCTTGGTTGGGTGGGGTCTTGGGTGGGGAGGGGCTGTTCCAGGCTGGGGCGCGGAGCCCAGGGGCGCCGGGCCTGGGGCGGGGTTTGAGCCGCCGTGGGGAGGGAGTGGGTGTCGGGGTGGGCGGGGGCCGGGCTCACACGGGGTCGGCCGAGCGCCCCGCGTGGGAGGGGCGAGGGCGAGGGCGAGGGCGGCGGTCTGGCCTCGGGGTTGCCTGGCTTTGGCTGCGAGGCCGGCTCTGGGCCCTGAAGGTATGGCTTTGGGGTCGGGAAGGGCGGGGCAGGGCTAGAGCTGGAGTTTACGTGGTCGGGGGCGGCTTGGGAAGAAGGGCAGGAGCCCGGCGGTGGGAACGGAGGACTGGGACTGGCAGGCGATTGGGAGAGCGAGATCCAAGCAGGCATGCTGCAGGGTCGGGGGCCTGGAGCGTCCGAGTGAGCTGGGTGATTCAGGGATGTGCTCCCCTAGTAACGGAGCAGCTGGCGAGGGGCGCGGTGAAAAGGAGCCAGGTGCAGGTGGGGCTCCGCTGCGCCTAAATGACTGAGGATGAGGTCAGATGTTGAGGGTGGGAATGCAGGAGCCGAGCTCTCCCGCCTGTCCACACAAGCGTACACACCCCAGCTCTCCGTCTCTCAAAGGCTTTGAATGTGTCGGGGGAAGTGGCAGGCTGCAGGGAGAGCCGAGAAGAAAGGGGCTTCCTCTTGGAGAGAGGCGCGGGCCCTGCCGTCCTTTTTTGGGAGTGTTCAAAGGGTTTTTGATCGCTGGAAAAGGAAACGTAGGCTTTACTGCATCATGGTTTAGAATCGCATCCTATATTTGGCCTTAATGTAGGCTGTCCTTGTTTTGTGGTGTCTGAAGTCCTTGCTCTACATGTTGCAAACGTGGGATTCAGTGTGAGAAGCAAATTGCAAGTTGTTCATCTCCCTCGGGGTAGCAGGATACAAAGGCCTTTCTTTCCTGTAAGACATTTAAACAGAATCGAATATAGTGCGTGTTTTTAAACTGGTACTGGGTAGCGAATGTATTTACTTTTGGGAATTGTCGCAAAATATTAGGCCCTCTTCCCGCAGCTCTCCTGCCTGGGATTACCTTCTAAAACTGTATTTCTGGGGTTCTTAGTCACTCTATATAATAATGCATTGCATTGTCCTTATCTGGCAGAACTCTCTCCTGACACCAGGGCCTTGCTAGACTAGACAGAAACATGATTAAGTATAACCAGTTGTTTGTACCGTCTGTTCAATTGTGAAGGCACATAGATATCTGTTTCTGTGACTTCACTTTCTGCATTCCCTGTAAAACTGAAGAAATGGGAAAAATCTATTTTGGACTGGATTCTGTATATTTCAGAAAACTAATTTAAGGAAAGTAATTTTTTTTTTTTTTTTTTTTTGACTTGGAGGTTCATTTCAGAGTCGCAGTGTTTGGATAGGAAGCCTAATAGTACCGGGTGGGTCTGAGAAGCTGTATAAATAAATGGGGGGAAAAGTCAAATAAAACTGGGCAATGTGTTGTATGTTAGGCCTGGAAGTGCAATGTTTTGTGGTAGGTGGCAGTCATGTGTACTGAGGATTGGCCAAAGATTGGTATGAAGGTCGGGTACACACCTTTTTGACAAATCCAGAATGTGCCTTTTCTGTATTTATTTTTGATTATTTGTGGAAGGTACATGAAAGCCTGATGGATTTTACGAGACACATGTCAGTGAGAGATCGATGCACAGAGTACTGAATTTTTCATCGTCAGGTGTTACTTTGCCTGCAGATTGTGCTAATGAGCATTTATGTCTATTTATATGTAGTTTAGGATTAGATTCAGGATTGACAAGTAGCACTTTTTAAACACTTCTTAAACATTTTTGATTTAAATTTTATGCTTAATGCATCTGTCACTTTTTGGGATCCACTCTAACCATGAGGAGGGAAGTCACTCTAATGCCTATGAAATGGAATGTTCAAAAGGATAAATGCTCAGTTCTTAGTTACATAACTGAGAATGTGAAGATTCAGTTCTTTATGATGGCAAATTATTTCTTAATCGCTTTGATTTGTCACGAACTGGGGTTTTAGAAACATTATTAACTGTTTTTTTTTACCTTTGACTTCTTTTTCAGAGGTGGAACAATAATAAATTTGGGTACCACTTTCATATCCAGGGTACAAATCCATGTTTGTTTTCCATTTGATGACCTCCCTGTGTTATCCTATTCCTGAGTTATGAAAACTCTTTTCTGACACTTGTGAGTATGTCTTTTTAAACTTAAGATGCCTTTTCTGTATTAAAACATGGAAATCCTCATAAATATTTCAGTATGACCTAGTACCTAGAACGTTAAGTAATAGAATCTCTCTGGGTTTTCATTGCCCTAGTTCAGATCCCTTAAAATGAGTGAACAAGATCCTATACTCCTTTTTGAGAGCTTATTCTGTGTTTCAGTAGTGCATAATGGAATCATTTTTGTTTTATAAGCACTTTATTGAGAGATAGGTCACATACCATACAGTTCACCTACTTAAAGTATACAATTTAGTGGTTTTAGTATATTCACAGAGTTTTGTAGTCATTACCACAATTTTAGAACATTTTCATCACCCCAAAAAGAAACCCCGTACCCATTAACAGTCCCCCTTCCACCTCATTCTCCTCTCTACCCTGCCCTAGGCAGCCACTGATATACTTTGTGTCTCTGTTGATTGCCTATTTTGGACATTTCATGTAGATGGAATTGTACAATATGTGATCTTTTGTGTCTGTGTTTTATTACGTGTAATGTTTGCAAGGTTTATCAGTCTTGTAGCATGTATTAGTGCTTCATTCTTTTTTTTAATGGTTGAATAATATTCCATTGTATGGCTATACTGTGGTGTTTTTTAAAAATTACTCTATTGAGGTCATATTGGCTTACAGTGGTGTAAATTTCAGGTGTGCATCACTGTATTTCAGTTTCAGTGTAGATTGCATTGTTGAATATACCATGTTTTGTTTATCCGTTCATCCATTGATGGACATTTGGATGTTTCCCCTTTTTTTGGCTGTTATGACTAATGCTGCTGTGAACGTAAGTGTACGAATTTCTGTGTGGACATATGTTTTCATTTCTCTTGGGAATTGCTGGGTGATATTGGTTACTCTATTTAACTGTTAGAGAAGCTGCCAGACTGTTTTCCGAAGCAGCTCCACCATTTTACAAGCCCTCCAGCAGCATATAAGGGTTTCAATCTCTCCATATCCTCCTCTATACTTGGTATTCTCTGACTTTTTAATTCTAGCCATCTTGGCGGGTGTGAAGTATCTCATTGTCATTTTTATTTGCATTTCCCTGATGGCTAATGATGTCCAGCATCTTCTCAAGTGATTAGTGGACAGTTGTGTATTTTCTTTGGAGAAATGTCTGTTCAGATGCTTTGCCGATTTTAATATTGGGTTATCTTTTTATTGTTATGACTTATTTATATCTTTTAGATACAAGTGCCTTATCAGATAGATGATCGCAAAACTTTTCTCTAGTTCTGTGAGTTGTCTTTTCTTGATGGTATTCCTGGAAGCACAAAAGTTTTTACTTTTGGTGCAGCCCAGTTTATGCATAATGGAGTGAGAATTGATAGTAATGGAGTTAGAAATTATTTAGCCCTTAAATCACATCCTCATCAATGTTTTGGTTATATACGTTAAAAGCCAGGGGCCAGCCCGGTGGCATGGTGGTTAAGTTTGCATGTTTGGCCTCGTTGGCCCCAGGTTCACCTTGATAGACACGGATATTAGCTCAGGGCCAATCTTCCTCAGCAAAAAGAGGAGGATTGGCAGTGGGTGTTAGCTCGGGATTAATCTTCCTCAAAAAAAAAAAAAAAAGTAAAAGCCAAATGTGAAAGGGTTAGGGAAAGATTTGAATTAGTTTTAGATCAAAAAGGGCTTGTCGGGGCCGGCTTGGTGGTGCAGCAGTTAAATGTGCATGTTCTGCTTCGGCGGCCTGGGGTTGGGCAGTTCGGATCCCAGGTGTGGTCATGGCATTGCTTGGCAAGCCATGCTGTGGCAGGCGTCCCACATATAAAAAGTAGAGAAAGTGGGCACGGATGTTAGCTCAGGGCCAGTCTTCCTCAGCAAAAAGAGGAGGATTGGCGGCAGATGTTAGCTCAGGGCTAATCTTCCTCAAAAAAAAAAAACGGGCTTGTCAGGAAACGTTCCCCTGTTTAAATCCTCTGGTGGCCTCCCCCCATTGTCTGTGGTTAAAGTTGGGACTTCTGCATGTGGCTGTGGATCTGGGTGTCTAATTTCGGCTGCCTGGTCTCTCACTGCTCCCCTCCCTATGTTTCCGTCCCCATCGCTACTCCTTGAACTTCCCACCCTCAGCTCTACTTGGGATGCACTTGTTACTCCACCCCCTTTCCACTTGTTGAGGCCCACGTGTCCTTTGGGATCCTCCAGGAGACCTTCCTGATCCTCCCAGGCAGACCTTGTCCCTGCCCGCATGCATCGTACATTCGTCACTGCTGTCTGCCGCAGGGACCTGCTCCTGAACCTGAGCTTACTGTCGGAAAGGCTGTTCCCATGGAAAGCAGGGTGTGAGAGGGGAATTCACGTGGAAGGCAGATCAAGGTTCTCTGCTCACAGCTTGGGCTCCAGTGCCTACCGGCTATCTGCTGAATGCAGGATTATTGAAGTTAGTTGAAACGATCCCGCGGTCAGTGGGTTTCTCTGATTATTATTCACATCTTTGTTGCCTATGTAAAAATAACATGAAGTACACGGGTGATTCCTCTCTGCCTTTCTGGCATCCGAGTTCAGCCCTTACCAAAAAAATGGATGTAAAACCGAATGTTTGAAGCTTTTTCCTGAGGGCAGAACATGCTCGTCCAGGTTCTTTCCCCCCAATGAACAGTGATGACTGGCGCACAGCCTTCCCAGTAGGGCAGGTGGCCAGGGAACACGTTTAGTTTGGTATGATTGAGCCACACCAAATGCAGCAGGCCAGCCCTGATGGTATTGAGTCAGTCAGGACTGGAACTACCCCAGGGCATGCCTGATAATGGGTGTAAACTGGCTGTTAAGGGCACATACTTCCTTCCTTTTCATTCTTTGTTCCTGCTCTCTTGCTTTTCTCAGAGTATCTGACTCAAGTAGTAGTCTTTAGTTATATTTTGTGGGTTATTTTTTTTGCTGAGGAAGATTCACCCTGAGCTAACATCTGCTGCCAGTCTTCCTCTTTTGGATGTGAGCTGTTGCCACAGCATGGCCACTGACAGACGAGTGGTGTAGGTCGCGCCAGGGAACCGAACCTGGGCTGCCAAAGCGGAGTGCGCTGATCTTAATCACTAGGCTACCAGGGCTGGCCCTGTATTTTGTGTTCTTATGTTCACTTTTAATACCTTAATTAAAAATACTCCACTTGCTATCTCCCTGACAATTAGGAGAAACCAGCTGACCATTTGGGCTACGTTTTCATTTTTTGTGTTCATTGCAGTGGTTGGATTGTGGTGAGGTAGTATGGAAGAGAAGAAGGAAAATAAATTTCGTATTTCTTCTTTGTTTCATTAGGCTCAGTGACCTCTCCGTATCTTATATAGTTTCTTGCTCTAGGAGTTTTGTCTTTAAAGAAATTGAGGCAATGAAGAGTTTAGCCTTTAGAGCCAGGCTGGGCTGGGCGTCACTCTTGGCTCCTCTTCTTAATAGCTGTGACTTTGCCAAGTACCTCACCTCCCTTATCCTCAGTTTCCTCTTTGGTAGTATGGAGATGCCAATGGTCCCTTGCTGGGGTATTGAGTGGACGATGAATTTGTGTTTCCCTCTGTCTTCGCCCTTAATGTCTGTTAATGAGTGGAACTGGGGAGAATCAAGTAGAGTAAGTTTAATACATTTTATTTCTGATGTTTAGCTGTTAATATGTGGATTCCCACTCCCACTTGAGCATTTAGACTTGAGTCAAAGTGGAATTACTAAAGCGGTACAAAATGTCTAATTTTTAGGATAGGAAAGTAGTGTTAAAAACGAGGCGGTTTTTACCATGTCTCTGCTCCGACAGGCTTCTCTTATTCAGGCCTTATGCTTGTATTCAGTCTGTCTGTCTGTCTATCTATTTTAAGGAAAAAGGTTTAGTTCCTGGCAAAAGATTGATCCTTTTAAGGTTTGGAAGGAGATGCCACTGCAGATACTCATCTGGTTATAGTGTGAATGGCAGCATTGTGATAAAGTGTAGCATTTGGTGTGAGCAAAGAGCCCAGTAGTTTCATGGGATGTTAAATTAGGCCCGTCATTTGAGTCTTACATTAGTAACAAAATCAGTTTGTCTTGTCTGCCATAGTAAAGAGAAATCAAATTAACGCAGAGGTCCGAGTGGGAGAGAGAAACTGGAGTATGAATGGGATTAGGAAGGCTTGTATTCTGTATGACTGACAGCAGTAATTTCCCAATACACATTGTTTCCCCTTTTGGTTGTGCAATTATCTACATTTCTTTTTAAAAGTTATGAATAATGGATCATACTTTGTGCCAGCATCTCACCACCTTTTAAAGAGTATATCGTTTTAGGGAGGTTGGCGGATGATGTCTCAGGTCCAGAGGTCCCCGTTTCCCGAGGACCTGCTGTTAGACCTTCATGAATGCAGCTCCCTGCTGACTCTGAATCACGGCTGGAGCAGAAAGTCCCTCGCTGCTCCCTCCTTCCTCGGCTTACAGATGAGGGGCTGTGGCCTCAGGAGCTTGAGAAGCTCCCCCACCCAAGATCAGGAGCGTAACTATCCCTCGCTTCCTCCCCAGCCCCCTTCCGTCTCCTTCCGTGTGTAGTGTGAAGTCATTCTTAGAGTTGGTAGTGTGGATTTATAGTGTAGTGTGGGTTTTTGTTTGTTTGTTTGTTTTTTACTGGGTGAACCTGACGTGCTTTCCCTTTTTCAGTCCTTGACCTGATGCGACAGTTCCCTCTTAACCTTCCCCCGTGGTCTTCTGCCAGATGTGCACACTGAGCCTGCTCAGAGCTGCTCTCTTCAGTTTATCGCTACAGTCGATAGTTAGTACCGGTGTGTGTGTGTGTTTTCCTCACATCTTCAGATGGGACGTGTATGAAACTATGAAGTTTGGTCCAGATTTTCAGAAGGTTTTTTCGATGCATTTTTGGGAAACTTGAAAATACATGGACTCTCTTGTATAAGCCTTTGGGAGACTTGATTTCCTAGTTTTAATGTGAAGTTCCTTGACAGTATTTTATTGCTCTCTCTTTATTTCCTCAATCTTATCATCTGACCATTAGTA